GTTCTTCTTTGCGAAGGATCTTTTTTTCTTTTAATTAAGAAAAAAAAAGCTTGGTTGATTTTTTTAACAATTGAAATATTCCTTATGGGATAACAACCATTTCATTGGATTAAATTTATTCCATGATTTTTATTTGTGTAATCTAAAAAAAAAAAAAATTCAACAGAAAAAGTAAACTGTTAAATACAAGACGTATGACGACATACGAAGCTTCCAAAGCAAGTTTGTAAAATATACTGATGAACGTTTATCAATTATTGAATAACTTGTATCGAAATAAGTGTTAAAAATCAAGATCTATGAATCTGTTTGTAAAATATATTTAATGAGCGCTTTATCAATTATTCAGATAATTATATAGGCGGGCTTGATAGTAGTGTCAAAGTCAAGATCTATTTGCAAATCAAGTTTCCAAAATGAACGGTCATTATTATAGGCGGGTTTGATCAAAGTCTTAAAGTCGAGATCTACGAAGCTGTTTGTAGAATATATTTATTTGGCGTTTTATTATTATCAATTATTCAATAACTATATATGCGGGTTTGATCGGTCAAGATCTATATAATTAGATTGTTAATAATTAACAATGGAATTTTATTATATGCAAAAAAAAATTTTTTTGAGTTGTAAATTTTATTTTATTAAATAAATTTGTTTGATTTTTTCATACATCGTTCATGTTTTCTCTTGATCGTGTATCTTAAATTGGTCGCGTTTACAATCATTTTGACATTCGTTATATTAAGGTTATTTTGATTATATCGAGAGATATGGTCAAGAGAAGAGTTAGGAAGAGAGTTATTATCCGACCAAGTCAAAAACCAACCCTTTAAATACATTTTCGAGTAGTACGATTTAATTTATTAGACTATTTCAACGGTTGCTTCCAACTTCTTAAATTCGTTAATGTAACAATTGTTGGTGAAGTGATTGTTGACAAAATGAATCAAACCCATATTTATTTCTACGTTTATCAAATTCGCAATTTTAATTGGTCAATCAACAAATAGCATGGGTTAAAATTTTGTGTTCCCTCCTGTTAATTTTTGTGTTCGCAGAACAGTCTCTCCTGTTTGGGGCTGTGCAACGAAATTATATTTTATTTTAGATTCTTGATACATGGAAAGATAATGCATGCATGATTTATTTGTGCGATCAACCACATTCGATTAATTCCCTCCTGTATATACTAATACTAATACTTTTCACATGAAATAATGTAATATGAAATATTTAATAAATATGTGAAGATTGTATCGGTTCATCCTTTTTCTTAGTTATGTGGGGTGCAAATAACATTACTATTACCCTAAATAAAGTTTGCCCAATTGTGGGCCATGTTTTCGATTGTGTTACGTGTTATGTGCTATATATATTAGTCATGGAATTTATCTGATTACTAAAATCAAATTATTACTAGGGTTTGTATTCATGAATACCGTTAGGGGGCCACACATGGTCACACACTATTAAAATCAAGCATTTTTAAGGGATTTTTTGCTGTTTTAATAGTGTGTAACCCCCTTAACGGTATTCATGGTATTCATGAATACAAACCCTAATTACTATCCTGCTGCTTCTTTCTGTACCTATAAAGCTTTGTGAATCCTTAAGCACATTTTATGGTACCAATAAATAAATGCAGTCCTCTACAAAGCAACAAAGTCCTTTATAGAGCTTCTATTTTATTTACTTTAATATTAATTTTCTTTGGCCAATTGAATTCAACCATATGTTTGTAACAATGAATAACAATATATGACAAATAATTGAATGCTAAAATATAATCATAAACAATTGAAAAGATGAATGAACATCATATACAAGATGTGTCCTGTATATTCCGTCTATAAAGACAATATACAGGAGGGTCCTCTATATAATATGGGACCTTATTCAGTATATAAAGAAAAAATATACAGAGGGGTCCTGTATTAAGATGGGTCCTGTATATAATATGGGTCTTGTATTTAAGATGGATACTGTATATTCCATTTGTAAAGAAAATATACAAGAAGGTCCTGTATATAATGAGTTCTATATTCCGTCTATATATAAAGAAAATATAGGGAGGGTCCTGTATATTCCGTCTATAAAGAAAATATAAAGAGGGTCTTGTATATTCCTCCCATAAAGAAAATATACAGGAGGGTCCTGTATATTCCGTCCATAAAGAAAATATACAGGAGGGTCCTGTATATTCCTCCCATAAAGAAAATATACAGGAGGGTCCTGTATATTTCGCCCATAAAGAAAATATACAGGAGGGTCTTGTATATAATATGGGTTCTATATTCCGTCTATAAGTTCTGTATATTTTGTACAAGATGGTTTTGGTTATTTGTATTTTAAGAGTCATTCTTGTGAAGATCAATAATATTAAATTTTGAAGCATTCATTTCATTGTAAAGATAATACAATTTTATTTTTACTTCTTAAACAGTATTATTTTACAGCCCCCATATCCTACACAACTTCCTCATAATTTGTTAAACCATTGATAATGATGATGACATGATTTTTTTTTTTAAATAATAATAAATTTATATAAAAATTTATTATATTATTCATCACGCAGATCATAGGTGCCACTTCCAAATTAGGAAAGTCCTGTATATAGGATTTTCCTAATTAATATTTATGATGATCAACATTAAAAATTTTTTTTTGAGCCATTGTTTACTATTAATTTACCACGTGATTCCCCCTACCCTTAAAATGAGCATTTTATTTAATAATACTTCAAATATTTCAAATATAATTTTAATTGCATTGTTTTCACGTCTTTTTACATGGATAATAGGAATAGTTTCTTGTTTAATAATTGATGATTATGATTCATCAGTTGATATAATATTTAATGATAATAATAATTTGATACAAAAATATTTTAATTATGCTTTTAAAGGATTATTAAGATGGGATGCATTTTATTTTTTACATATAAGTGAAGAAGGTTATATTTATGAACAAGAGTTTGCATTTTTTCCTTTACTACCTTTATTGGCTAGAATATTAGGAGACTTTGGTAAGAGATAACAATTTAAATATTTATAAAATAATTTCATCATTAATCCATATATTTTATAATAGCGTTCATACCTTTGGGATACTTTTTAACATATACACAAGTATTGTTTTTATCAGGAGTATTGATTACAAATATATGTTTTGTGTTGGCATCAATTAATTTATACAAGTAAAAACAATGAGTTTTTTTCCTTTTTAATTTATTGCCAAATATTAATAATTAATAAAATTTTTAATTCTTTATTTAATTTTAGGTTATCCTTAATCTTATTTAAAGATGAAAAATTTGCGTTTATTTCATCAATATTTTACATATTAACACCATCATGTATTTTTATGACATCAATGTATACAGAGAGTTTATTTGGATTTTTAAGTTTTTTTGGCATGAGATTATTCTATGAGAACAAATTGTTTTTTGCCTCATTAATTTGGTGTTTAGCCTCTTTTACTAGATCAAATGGTATTGTTTATATTGGATTTTATGTTTATGAAGTAATAAAAGATTATTTCAATATTAATGGTAATAATGGTGTTAGCAATAGTGTTGGTGGTATATTCCGTCTATAAGTTCTGTATATTTTGTACAAGATGGTTTTGGTTATTTGTATTTTAAGAGTCATTCTTGTGAAGATCAATAATATTAAATTTTGAAGCATTCATTTCATTGTAAAGATAATACAATTTTATTTTTACTTCTTAAACAGTATTATTTTACAGCCCCCCATATCCTACACAACTTCCTCATAATTTGTTAAACCATTGATAATGATGATGACATGATTTTTTTTTTTAAATAATAATAAATTTATATAAAAATTTATTATATTATTCATCACGCAGATCATAGGTGCCACTTCCAAATTAGGAAAGTCCTGTATATAGGATTTTCCTAATTAATATTTATGATGATCAACATTAAAAATTTTTTTTTGAGCCATTGTTTACTATTAATTTACCACGTGATTCCCCCTACCCTTAAAATGAGCATTTTATTTAATAATACTTCAAATATTTCAAATATAATTTTAATTGCATTGTTTTCACGTCTTTTTACATGGATAATAGGAATAGTTTCTTGTTTAATAATTGATGATTATGATTCATCAGTTGATATAATATTTAATGATAATAATAATTTGATACAAAAATATTTTAATTATGCTTTTAAAGGATTATTAAGATGGGATGCATTTTATTTTTTACATATAAGTGAAGAAGGTTATATTTATGAACAAGAGTTTGCATTTTTTCCTTTACTACCTTTATTGGCTAGAATATTAGGAGACTTTGGTAAGAGATAACAATTTAAATATTTATAAAATAATTTCATCATTAATCCATATATTTTATAATAGCGTTCATACCTTTGGGATACTTTTTAACATATACACAAGTATTGTTTTTATCAGGAGTATTGATTACAAATATATGTTTTGTGTTGGCATCAATTAATTTATACAAGTAAAAACAATGAGTTTTTTTCCTTTTTAATTTATTGCCAAATATTAATAATTAATAAAATTTTTAATTCTTTATTTAATTTTAGGTTATCCTTAATCTTATTTAAAGATGAAAAATTTGCGTTTATTTCATCAATATTTTACATATTAACACCATCATGTATTTTTATGACATCAATGTATACAGAGAGTTTATTTGGATTTTTAAGTTTTTTTGGCATGAGATTATTCTATGAGAACAAATTGTTTTTTGCCTCATTAATTTGGTGTTTAGCCTCTTTTACTAGATCAAATGGTATTGTTTATATTGGATTTTATGTTTATGAAGTAATAAAAGATTATTTCAATATTAATGGTAATAATGGTGTTAGCAATAGTGTTGGTGGTACATTCAAGGTAATCAATTAATTTATGTTTTCAAACTTTTTAGTTTATTTGACTTTTAAATAATAACTATTTTTTATATTTTAGATCATATTCTATTATATTAAAATCATTTTGTTAGGATTAATTTCAATATCTGGATTTATAATATTTCAAACATATGGTTATTATCAATATTGTACTGATAATAGCTTAGAAAGAGAATGGTGTAATTCATACTTAATTTATTCATTTGTACAATCTTATTACTGGTAAGCATTATTATTATAATATAGCCAGTAATAGTATTATTATTATTATTAATTATTTTACTTACCTAATTTTATTTGATAGGAATTGCGGATTTTTCAAATATTATGAATTTAAACAAATTCCTAATTTTTTACTTGCAATGCCAATGATCTCATTATCTGTTTATGGTATCTTTACTTATATTAAATATGATATTAATAGGATTTTTACATTAGGATTGACAAAAAAAAAGTCCGTTAAAGAAGGTAAATGAAAAAATTATAATGATGATAATAAAAAATAAAATAACCATTTATTAATAAATCATCATCATTTATTAATCCATTTTAGATAATAATATTTTATCTTGTTATTTTTCATCTAAAATTTTACCATTTATTTATATTTGGATTTTTTTTTTGATATATTGTGTTATATTTACACACATACAAATAATTACAAGGTTTTTTTCCTTTTTACCAACAATTTATTGGTTTTCAAGTCATTTATTTATATCATTAAATGATGATAATAATAATAATAATATCAATATTAAAACTACTAGTTATAAATTAGATTATTTATTATTAAGCTATTTTATATTATATGGATTAATTGGTATTATTTTATTTTCCAATTTTTTCCCTCCTGCTTAAAATATTATAATTACAAAAAAAAAAAAAATAATAGACATTTAAAAATAAAATTATCATTCTTTATCACACATATTTTCATTTCAGATCTAATAGGCAATTCCATGGTTACACCTGTACTTTGAGCAAATATCATCATTATTATACATTTTGCAAGGGCACCCAAAAATAAACCAGATAACAATAATGCATGTATACTATTTGATTGAAGTATGCCACTCACTATCTTCAATTCAAGCAAATCAATTAATTTTGTACAAGCAGTTAATAATAAAAAATTCGAAGTTTCAAATTAATAAATTAACATAAAAATAAACCACTTTGTCATTTTTCTTACCTTTTAAACTTTTATGAAATGTTTCGATATCTTCAACTGATCATATAATTTCTTTCATAATTTATTTACTTTTTTAAGATTCATATTTATCAAATATTCACCTTCAAATCCTTGTTATTGAGACTCTCCGGTTGTTGGATCACATTCTTTAATAATTTCAATGTATTTGAAAAATTTGCAAGAGGATATATTCTTCAGGATTTACTTTCTTAGATGCAACATATACTGATCTGGGTTGATAATATGATAATGTTGGTGCTGGCATAACAAACTCCTCAACCAAAAGTCTATCATCTAACCCAACTCTGATTGCATTAACGTTGTCACATTTTCCAACAATTGTTCATTAAATGTATTGTTGATAATAAACTATATATAATTTTAAATAAAAGATGTATCCATTGCCTTAATAAAAACATATAAATCAAAGACGATTTTTGATTTAATATTTATTTTTACCTGAAAGATTACATGTTCATTAAATATATGTTTAATACAACTAACAACATTATTCTGTTTCACTTTCTGATTGCTTTAGAACTTTTGAATAAGGATCCAAATGCTGTTATTTCAGTTATCCTTTCCAATTGTTGTACATAAACTTGCCATTGATCAATTGGTGTGGTTGCATCTCTACTTGTACTAATAATTGAAGAATTAACAATTCCTGAGATGATGGGTGATGATACTCTAATAGTTTGCATAGCCTAAAAGTCAAAGCTTCGAGGTTGTGAATTCTCTGCTTCAGCTTGAGCTTTAGTAATTTTAGGAATAGATGACAAATCAAATGGTTTTTCTGCTGACTCTGGATTACTTACTTACATATTGTACCAATTGTTTTTCAAGTGCAACAAGTAGAATCTATATAATTGAAGAAAAAATAGTAATATAATTGATATTAATTATAACATCTGTGTATTTTTTCAAAACTAAAATAAATTTATATCTACAGTTATATAAATAATAATAAATTTAACAACTGACCATTTTTTCAGTACCAAATTCATCTTCCATTAATTTTAAGTATAGTGTTGTTTTGTCTCTTATCATCATTGTCATCTATCTAAACATCTACAAACAAATAAAAAGGTTTTTGTGAAATCAATTATTATTGATTTTATTTAATTTTATTAATATTGTTATAATTATTATCTAGTAAGTAAACTTTATACTTTTTTTTATACTTCTGGATCATCTACACTTACACCAACAGCAGTAGCTCTTACATTAAAATCATCCAATTATATATATAGTGAATATATTGTGTAGATGTAATGGTTTTTGGTCTTACAACTCCAAGGAAATGAAGTACATGTACAGATAACTTTGTGAATTCACAATCCTCTATGAACTCACATAATTGTTGTAGGGCTATCAAAAAAAAAATTTCATTATTTAGTAACATGTTTATTTAAACCAAAAAAAAAGTATCAACATATGTTTAATCATATATATAATTTACCTGTTTCTTTGGATTCAGGTGTAAATTTAACCAAGCCTCGACCACAACTTGTATCCACCTTTCATCTCTTAAAATTCCACTTAAAACTAAGCATGGCAACTTGTTTTGATGGATATAAAGATCGTACTGCATCTACAATAATCACCTTACTTAAATTCTATTTCTTTTATCTTTCAAGTCTATAGAAAGATTTATATTATATGATTAATCACTGATCTGTAATTTCTGAAATGAATCTTGTAATTTGTTTCATTAACGATCTACACTAGTATCATTTCCTGTCTAAATTCATAAATAAACCCATACATTATTATAAAATATTGACTTTAAGGTAAATAATAATAAAGCCTTTATTAACTTTTATAAATATACCTTTAATAATCATAATAGCAAAAGTAGCCACACTTCTGTTTTGATCTAATCAAATTTCCATATCTAAATTACGGGGTTGGACAACAGTAGGATGTGTCAAGGCCAATTTGTTTAGTGTACAAATAGCAGCAAAATGTAATGTACATTTGGCAAAGTAATAATTGCAAAACTAACAAAAAAATATTAAATAATTAAATTATAATACTTATTAAAAAATTTCTTTTTTAAATTTACCATTCACAACCAGATATAATTTTTTGATTGTTACATCTTTGATGCTACATATTGCTTTTGCTGATTCAAAATTCACAATATCACTTTTATGTTTTAATCACCCCTCTAAAAGTTCATATGTTGTCTTGAACTTAATTTCATTAAAGAATATACCCAGTTAATAAACAAATAAACAAACAAGCAGTCAAACCAGTCAAATAAAATGTATTAGTAAACCTACTTAGGATCCTCCTCTAAAATTTTGGCCGTATATCTAATTAATAAACAATATGCGAATGGATTATGTAAAATGCCACTACTAGATGGAACGTTTCATCTACTATTACTGCTGCCAGATAATTGCTGTATTAATTTTGTTACTGCCATTCTATCATGTCATAAATCAAATATAATAATCCTAAAGCATGATATTGATTGGTATTACTAGTAGATTGTGGCATGTTGTATGAAGATCCACTTGAGGAAAATGACGTTAAATATGATGATGCTGCACCAACAAGCGAAGATGGCTTTGAATTTATAACTTCATGAACTTCATTTGCCCATCCCTTAATCACATCTTTTCCTGAATAAAATAAATGATAACTAGAAACCATTGCTGCAGATGATATCAATGGTGTCTCATCAACAATAGCTTTAAGAAAATGTTCAATATTGAAGCCTTAATATTAAATAATTACAATAATCATTATTATTATTATTAATTTATCAATATATAATAGTAAAAATCATGACTAATAAATAAACATGAATTCAATTAATTTTTTACATCAATAATTTTGCAAAGTACTCTAATCTCATTCGCTTTCAGATTTTGGCTGCATATTTTCATCAACTACTAATAACCATAATAACATCTTCAGCAACAGTAGACAATTACTTAATAATCAAAGTATACCATTAACAAAGAGTGATCTATACAATAATAAAATATTCCAGTTGATTTGATGTATTCAAATTTTTATATATTTAAAATTAAAAGTGATTTTATTTTATTTCTCTTAATAAAATCTTACATCTTTAAATAATTTAGTTAAACCGAAAAAAGTTCTGTAGCCTCTGTAGTTGCCAATGGCTCATCAATATAATAAGTATATAATTTTGTTCTTGGAATGATTGGTCAGGGAGATAGAGCATTCCTAAATCTAATCTATAAATTTGTTTCCAAATTTACATATAAATTAAACATTTTAGATGATTTTATAAATAAAGAACGCCAAGTTATATACGTCATCGCAGTAATTAATTGTAAATACAGAAATAGGAGTTTTTTAAGTAAAATCACCTCAATCTTCATTTTAAAGAACAAAAATTTTTAATATTCACGTTTTTTTGGATAAAAGCTTTTTGAAAGATTATCAGAAATATTTATAATTAAATTTTATTGGCTTGAAGATCATTGCTTTAACCAAATTTGAATCGGAAAACTTCTAAATATACTAACACGAATTAGTTTTTTTTCCCACAAATCAAGTATTATGAAGTCTTTTATTGAAATTCCAGAAAATTCACATTTTCCAATTCAGAATTTACCATTTGGTATATTTTCAACTAAAGATAATGTAAGCATATTAAAGAATTAATTAATTGTAAGCTACATATTAATTTATCAATTAATTATACAATTCTTTTTTTAAAGCAAACACCAAGAGTCGGTGTAGCAATTGGGGATCAGATTTTAGATTTAACAACAATTACTCAACAATTTAAGGAATTTCTTCCCGAATTAATTAATCCTGAACATGTTTTTTCTCAGGTAGCATTAAAATCAAAAAAAAGAAAAGCGAAAATAATATTTATGATTTAACTTTAAATTTGCTTTTTGCAGGGATCGTTAAATACATTTATGTCATTAGGAAAGCCAATATGGAGAGCTACTAGAAGCTTTTTACAAAAGATTTTGTCCTTTGATGATGATGATCCAGATCAAGCATTACAGCGTTATATGAAAAAGAATTCATTGATTCCGCAAAAGGATGCAAAAATGCATTTACCAGCTGAAATTGGTGATTATACAGATTTCTATTCATCAAAAGAACATGCAATTAACGTTGGGTCTATGTTTCGAGGAAAAGATAAAGCATTGATGCCAAACTGGTAAAATAACAATGATGATGATGATGATGATAATAACAATAATAATAACAATAATAATTGCAAACAATAATAATAATAACAAATTTTAATTATTATAATTGAAAATGTCTATCTCTAAAGGATTCATTTACCTGTTGGTTATCACGGTAGATCATCTTCAGTTGTTGTTACTGGAACGGATATAATTCGTCCTTGTGGTCAAAGTTTACCACACAAAGATCAACCACCTGTATTCGGACCTTCAAGAAAATTAGATTTCGAGTTAGAATTGGTAAATAATGATAATGATGATAATGATAATGACAATAGTTAATAAAATTAATATATAAATAAATAATTTTTTAGGCATTTGTTGTTGGCGTTGGAAATAAACTTGGTAAACCAATCTCTATTGAAAACGCAAACGACCATATTTTTGGTGTTGTTTTAATGAATGATTGGAGTGGTAATTGGTTATAAGATTTATCGTTATTGTTATTATTATTATTATTATAAAATTATAATTTTGATTTGAATTCTTTTGTATTACTTTATAACCAAATTAAAAATATTTAAGCTAGAGATATCCAAGGTACTTACTTATAAGTATTATAATTGGAATAATTCAATGAACATTGAAATGTATATTAATCAAAAAATCTTTTCATATTATTAGCTTGGGAATATGTTCCATTAGGTAGGTATGTTTTATTTTAAAAAGAAATATCAAAAAAAAAAATTTATTAAATATAATATTTATATATATTATTTATTAAGGTCCATTCCTAGGCAAAAATTTCGGAACAACGATTTCTCCTTGGATAGTTACACTTGATGCTTTAGAGCCATTTTTAGTAAATGGTCCTGATCAAATTCCCAAACCACTTCCTTATCTTCAAGATCAAGGACCATCAGCGTATGATATCAATTTGCAAGTCAAAATGAAACGTAATATGATTTTATTAAAAATATTTTCTCCAATACAATAACAATATTAATTTATAAATTATTATGATTTTCTTTATAGCTAATAATAGCAAAAATTATAAAACTATTACAAATTCAAATTCAAAATATATTTATTGGTCATTTAAACAACAACTTGTTCATCATACAGTAAATGGCTGTAATATGCATACAGGTGATTTATGTGGAACAGGAACAATTAGTGGACCTGTAAGTAAATTACTTTATAACTAAATGAATAAAATAAATCTCGACCATCAATCAATTGGTTTAATTGTCTTATTTATAGTCTGAAGAGTCTAGAGGATCATTATTGGAAATTACTTGGAATGGAGAAAATGAAATAGAATTTGAAAATGGAATTAAGCGTAAATTTATTGAAGATGGAGATGAAATTCTATTAGAAGGATATTGTTTAGGAGATGGATATATTGTTGGATTTGGCGAATGTAGTGGTAAAATTTTAGCTAGTCATTAATCAACAGTTTTTTTCCTAAGTCTTGCAACAAAAAATCCTGAAGTGTTTGAATGTATGGGATCAAATCTTACAGTTTTTGATAAGTTAATAATATTATTAATATTCTTTAAACGATTATTATCATCGTCAGTTGGTGTTGTGATAGGAAGAGGAGTGACTGTTTTCATATTTTCAATATTTGGTATTTGTTCTAGTACAGCATTTCGTTCTTTGTTTTGAAGCAAAAACCATTCTATTATTTCCTCATTTTGTTTCCTTGTTAGACTACAAGTACTATATACTAATATTCCACCAGGTTTAAGTAATTCCCATCCATTTTTTAAAAGATTTTTCTAAATAAATTTATTTTCCAACAACATAAGTATTTTGATATAAAAAAAAAAAGAATATATATATTTGAATTGTACCTGAAGATCAAAAAGATTATTTAGTCTTTTTGGGTTTAAAAAATTTTCTTCAAATTTATCCCATCCTAATTTTTCATACTATATAATTTAAAAAGTTAAATAATAATAGTAATAATATTTTTATTAAAAGAAAAAGAATGTATTGATTAACCTTGAGAATATGAACAATGGATCCATCATGTGTACATTCAGCATCTACTATCACCTTATCATACAAATATCTAGGATCTTTAATTTGTTGATCATTTCTAAATATTTTAGGTGAATAGAAAGGTTTGATGATATCATCTTTTGATTGTTGCTTGGTTTTTTTTTCGTCATCATCATCTTTCTCGTCTTCAATTATATTCAAGATTTTTTTAAAATATTTTAGATTACAAGGTGCATAAACATTAAAATTTGTACCATCAGCCAAGAATAGTCTTGCACGATTTATTTTGTGTTTTTTTATTAAACTACGACATGTTGATAACCTATTTTGTGAAATATCCACTCCAGTAATTGTTCCAAATCCTTTATTATCACCAGCTAGTATATTTGATATCATACATAACTTTGCCCCTAAAAAAAAAAAAGTAGAAAATATTTTTTTATTTATTTAATTTTTTTTTAAAAAAAAATATTACTATTTACCCGGGGCACAGCATAAATCCAATATATGATCATTTGGCTGTATATCAAGTGCATAAACTGCAACTCCTGAACTTAAATCGATCCCAATTATCTAAAAAACCTAAATTTATTAATAAATTGTTATTTTTTGAAAAATAGAGAAAAAAATTTTTTACCTCTTTTTCTTTATAACTAAGGAAGGGAATAAAGGAAATAAAAAACAATTAATACAGATGTGTATATTTATGAGTATTTATACATTATGTATATATTATATATTTACGCTTTACAATCAACAATCCTAACATTATTATTTAATCCAAAAAAATCTTTAAAACCATCAACATCCCAAATCTTTGTACCCAATTGATTCTCTAAACCATTTTTAAAATAATCATCATTTTCAATATTACTATTATCATTATTATTTAAACGTAAAATATATCTTGGTAAATTAGTTATTGAGTAGATGGTTGGATTTATGTTATTATTTTTTAAAAATTCCAAAAAAGCAGGCGGCAAAGATGAAAAATTGAAATTGTTAGATGACATCTTTTTTTAACCAAGAATGATAGACATATGGATGTGTTGATCATGCAGGTTTGTTTTGTTTTTCTATTGCCAACAGCATATGGTTTATTTGCTCGCTTAATAAACTTGCTTGCATAGTGGAATTTTGTTTTTGATCGACATTCGAAATTATCACGTTACACGACCTACACAATCTTTATTATACGGAAAATACAAAATAATTTAATTGTCATTATTTAGAATCTGGACTTTGCTCTTAGATGGAAAAGAAAAAATTATAATAAGATTATACTGGCATTTATTTCAGATTACATATACTAGGAAGAAAATCAAAATCCTTTTGCAAATGTATTGGAGAATCATCTTGTTAATTTCAATGAATATTATGTTGAAAATTTTCACAGCAGGTTACATGCTAATATTAATGTAAATCAAAATGCAGAATCAATTATTAATCAGGCATTTGTAATTGATAAGTTCAAAAATATATATACACACACACTACCCATACAAAAGTTTGTGAATGATGTTTTTTGTTAATTACGCAAAATGCTACATAATAACAACACATAAAATTTTAACATTATATGGCCTATGTTCTTGTTCGTTTTTGTATAAAATTTGATGTATTTTGTATTTCTAGTACTTTATTA